CGTGCGGCGATTAAGGGCGCGAGGGTCCTCTCGGGGAAGTGGGTCTTCCGCGTGAAGACCGCAGCCGACGGAACGATCGGGCGGTTCAAGGCGCGTTGGGTGGTGCGCGGGTACGACCATAGGCACGACATCGACTTTGACCAGACATTCGCGCCAGTATGCCGTCACACCTCCAATCGGATCTTGCTCGCCATCGCTGCTGCTAGACACCTACCTGGGCGCCAGATCGACGTGAAAAACGTGTTCTTATACGCGTTAGTGGATGCTGTGATTTACGTGGAGCAGCCGCACACGTACGGCGAAGGGGATTCGCGCGTGTGCCAGCTGCGCAAATCCCTCTACGGGATCAAGCAAGCACCGAGGCTCTGGCAGCAGTATCTGCACAACATCTTGCTTGAAATCGGGTTCAAACTGCTGCCCCACGATCCTGGGATGTACCGCCGGGATTTCCGTGGAGAATACATCCTACTCACGGTCTACGTCGATGACCTGCTCTACAGAGGATGAAACAACGAACTACTGAAGCAGTTCGAAATGAGCCTGGCGGGGCGCGTCGATATCACCTGCAACTACGAGGTGAAGCAGTTCTTAGGCCTCAACATCTCCTACGCGCCAGAAGCTATCCACCTCTCAGCGACTAACTATGCAGAGGAGTTAGGGAAGCGCTTCAACATATCACCCGCACCACACTCCACTCCTTATCGAAACCCTGCACCGAATCACAAACCTGACAACAAAGCCCCATCCCCTGCTAGGAAAAAGACTTATCAGCAGCAGCTGGGATGCAGAGAGCCCTACAGTTCTTCATTTCAATGCCTAAGATTTGACAATGCTACTCAACAGTGCCAACCCCGTCATTTAACCTCATCGGCTACGTGGACGCCGATCATGCAGCAGACCCCGACAATCGACGGTCCAGGACTAGCTTCCTATTCCGACTCGAACCGACGGGACCAATCTCGTGGAACTCGCAAAAACAGAAGCTGGTTGCCCTGTCATCAGCCGAAGCGGAATTCATCGCAGCAACTGCAGCAGTTCGCGAAGGCCTCTACTTGCAGGAACTGCTGCAAGAGGCGAAGAATCCAATTTCGCCCACCTTCCGCCTTCACTGCGACAACCAGAGCGCGATATGCATCGCGAACAAACCTGGTTTCGTCAACCGTACCAAACACATTGCGATGTGGTACTTCTTCGTCAAGGACGAAGTGGACAAAGGCAAGGTTGACTTGACCTATTGCCCGACGAGTGACATGGCAGCAGACTTTCTCACGAAGCGACTGCCACGCCAGCAATATCAGCACTGCTCCAAACTCATCGGAGCAGTCAAGCAGGTCAAGTCGAGCTAGGGGGGTGTTACGAATAGTAATGTATGGAACATTACTGTGCACTCCTAATTGCTGCTAAGAGAAGAACGCAGTATCAAGAATCAATGCGAGGAGTCAGAATCGGCTTGAAGCGACACAAACGGTTGGAAGGAATCTGGAACGTCGGAGCAAACGACATCGTGCAGCTACAAGCACGAGGGAATTGGGGCGAATAGTTTCGTAACTGCTCGCAACGCACGGTTGGTTTGAACTCGAATAAGGGAATGTACCCCTTACAGTACATGACAAGCTAGGACGTGTCGAATTTCTCTGTACTATTATTTATATCATTGTATTTGCATGTTTTAATTATCTCAAGCATTTTACATTCACTCTGCTATTGAGGTCAAGGGCCCACCAATACCAACCACTCATGCGGACCTTCCCGAGGTGATCCTAGGGTCGATCTCCTTCTGATCGTAACACCTACAAAGGGTGTTGATTAGGTAGATTCTAATTGATATGCAGTAGCAGTAAAACAAAATATAAAGCTTCTCACACTCAAAGTTTGTTTGTTTGTGTTTTTTTTATTAATCTAGATTCCGATATATTACGAATGCAATAGACATACACTTAACACATAATAGTTATGTGGCACTTCTTTAAAAGTTATTACATAAGGAACGTAACAGTTTCACAATGAGTGTTAACAGACCATGTTCTAATATTACATTATTTTTCAAGGCCAACACAGCAGATTAGGTCGAGACCAACAGCCAATGGATCGCCAGCGCCCGGTTCCTGGCCTCCCTCGCTGCTCCCGAAGCTGAGATGTGCAGCCGAACCTGAAAACCAAGCCGCTCGACCACTGGGGGGTGTTCCGAAGCTGACAGCTAAGCTGCCCAAAGCACTCCAGAGAATTCCGAAGCTGCCTGGGCTGATTTCGTTTCGACGCGACGCGTCGAAAGTATGTTTCCCCACTCGGTTCATTTTGTTACTCCAGTCATACTCCTCAAAACCATACTTTTCGAGACCCCCCATTTTTGGGATGCAGGGCTTGATTGGTGGTAACCATATCCGTGGGGGGTCACAATTCACGACACTTAATTTGAGACGCGTTATAAACGTCGATCGGAGCTGGCACGTCTGGAGCCATGAGCTTCTTGGAATGTGAGCTTAGAAAGTCGCAGTCAGGGTACTCGGAGCGGATAAGTACCATATTCTGTTCGAGAGAAGCAAATGTTGAGGTGAAATCTGGGTGTAGCAGCGTCAGTGATGTGAGAGGGAGCCAAATGAAGGCATGGTGGGGAGCTGGTTCCAGAAATGAATGGAAACTTGGCGAAGAGGTTCCTACGATTGTGTTATCGAGACTCGTTCGGTCCGTACACGAAAGGGCTTGGGCGAAGTAGTTTCCTTAGAAAGCTTTCGGCATCATCGTCAAGATTCGACTCCACGGACGAAACGGTAACACGAGCCGAGTGAATTTTCTGGATCACAGGTTTCCCTCCAAAACGAGATGCCGCGAACCTCAACGACAGAGTCGCGACGTACAGTTTTTTGTGTACCAGAATTTCGGACCAGTCCGCGTCTTGTTCGCGACTAGTCCGCGAAGGGCCCGCCTGACCAAAATTTCGGACCAGGAATATGAACGGACCGCTCGCACGAGAGCTGGAACGAACCTTCAAACACGGTGTTTCCCGGACAAATTGGCCCTGTTCGATAGCAGGGTGAACGAGAAGAAGAAAACTTGGAAACGGTGGGGAGAATTGGGCGGGAATCTACGTGGCACTCCTTGCGACGAGTCCGAGTTCCCGCTAGCGCGAACGATCCCACTGCGATGTCTCGGATTTCCCGCCTTCGCGGGAAAACAAGGCGGGAAGTTCAACAATGGTTCCAGACGCCGAAGCGCGCCCCAACAGTGACTCTCGCCCAATGATTACATCCTCGTCACAGCTCCTCTCGGGCAAAACGCCGCTCTGTTACCACACCAATGCCATTTCTACTTTTCGGTGAAGGAGCAACGGTTTCTGTCGGTTGGGGTATTGTGGGATCTTAGGTAAAATAACAGTCTAAACCAGTGGCATGCCCACTCCTTGGGACACAGCTCACTCGATTTGGAACCGCTCTGTAAAACACTATATATTTTACAGAGGGAATATTTTGATTGCGATACTTTTTCTGACGCTGACCATGGTTCCGCCAGGGCCCGGGTCAGAAAAAAAACACAGAATGTTTCCACACCAATTGGCCGTTGATGTGGTGTTTCCGAAGACCCTGCAGAAAGAAGCCGGCAGGCAGTCGGCTTCAATCATTACGCTGCCGGCGGTGCCGAACGAGCACCGTTTGTCTTTATGCTCCCACCGTTGTGCTGACAATGGTTTGGGGCTTTTTGCCGAATTGCTATCGAACAGGGCCATTGTGTTTGGTTCGTCGCTGAACGAAACCGTGTCACGTCTCAGATTTTCCCAGATTTCTTTGAGCTCGCTGATTTTTCTGTTGATCTACGCAAGGTTCAAACCACAATGAATCAGAGCGAAACCAATGCAGCGAAAAAATGGCAGCGAAATCAAGAAACAGGTACTTTAGCACAGCACAACCAATTTGGTTTGGTACCGGGTAACCCTTTTCTAAGAACTTAAATGAGGCATGCGTTGCGTACAAGGGAAGGCAGTGCAATGACCCTCCACGAACGAGTCACCTTGTCATCTTTTCAGGCCTTGTTTGTATGAACTCAGTCTAGGCTTCAACGGTCGCTGCATACAATCCTTCTTCAGATCCTTAGTAATCTCGTCTGCTAGGGAAATGATGGAGACCGCGACACATATTAACGACCTCCCCGACGACGTCCTCGCTAGGATATTATGGCGTTGTGCGGAGTCTACTACACCTTGGAAACCCGACAGTGACGCGTTATGGTCTCAACATTCATTGTCGCCGAAGCCACTGTACCTTCGCTCGATGGTTTTAGACGAAGATGATCCCAGTCCTGAGGAAGAGTCGTATCCAATATCGTCCCCCTCTGCCATTCCAACCGCTGTCAAGATCGTCTCGTCGGTGTGCCGTCGTTGGCGCAATGTAGCTCACCGTGCCGTCTCTACCCTGCTCGTCGAACGAAAACATGCCATTGCCCTTCAAGAACTCTCGAATGCCGTCGCGTGCTTCCCGAATCTCACCCATCTCCATCTGAGCGACGACAGCGTGGAAACCCTAGACGACACCTTCCTCAATCACCTCGCATCGGCCTGTCCTCAGCTCAAGATTCTTCACGTGGGACGTGGGATCACTCAGCATCCGAACTCCGTTGGACCGAAGCATAAGCACCCGATCACCGAGGCTGGTCTGGATCGCTTCTTCCAGCGATGCACTGAGCTGGAGCAGCTTTCACTGCTCTGCCTCCATCGGCACACTGAGCTACCGCCTTCCTTCTTCCGCCTCACGCGTCTACATACCCTGGCTTTAACAGCCGCCTCCGCCTTACAATCTCCAGATTTGGAGAGCCTCAGCTCTCTCACCAAACTTCATATCGCCTGCAGGAAGTTAAACAATGAGCAACTCGCCAACGTACGTCGTCTGCCCAGCATCACCAGCCTTTCACTCTCTGCCGGGACCACGTTTTCTCCTGCCAGTGGTGACTCGGGCTCGGCTGCCTTCGCCATCGCACAGCTACCGTTGATCAAATCGTTGGACACCCACCAAATGTTGCTGTCGGATTGGCCATTGACCAGTCTTGAACGGCTGCAGATATCAGACTGCGGAGAATTGGAGCGGCTTCCGGACAGCATTGCGGAGTTGCTGCCACGTCTGCGTGAGCTGACCGTTGCCAGGTGCGATGCCTTCAAGGAGCTGCCGAAAGGTTTCTGTTCCCTGAAGCACCTCGAGACCTTGTCAGTCATCAAATGTCATCAATTCCGCTGCCTGCCTGAAAACATCGGGAGATTGACTGCCCTGAAAACTCTGGTAGTTGAAGATGTGCCGCTGGCGAGCCTGCCTGACTCCATCTGCCAGCTCAGCTCCCTAGAGACCTTCTTGCTTCTCTCGGCCGCCCCGATCCACGAGCTGCCAGCAGACTTGTGCTCCCTCACAGCTCTCACGACTCTCTGCCTCGGGCGAGTGGCGCATCCAGCGGGCATAGGACGCCTGAGTAACCTCCACACGCTGCTTCTGAGATACAGCTTCAAAGATCCGCATCTCCCGTCCTCGTTATTGGAAATCGCGTCGCTGACACGGCTTGAGCTGGACAACTGCCGCCTGGAGTTGCTGCCAGAGGGCGTGGGATCGCTCAGCAACCTGCGGGAGCTGCACGTCTCGTCCTGCCATCAGCTCACGGCCCTTCCAGCGTCCGTGACGTGCCTGACTGCCCTGGAAGCTCTCTCACTCGCTGACTGTCGATGTCTGTCATCGGCGCCCACAAGGCTGGACGGCCTGACACGGCTCAAGCGGCTGGAGGTGATCCAATGTGACAGGCTGACACCGCCTCCTCAATTTTTGCCGGCCTCCATTGAATGGCTGAGTTGGGGAAATCGCGGGCAGGCCATGCCTCTGCCAGACGTCTCCACGCTGACGGGGCTTCGTACGCTTTGCCTGGAAGAGGTTGCGGTGGCGTGTGGGGTCGCTTTGAGCAGGAGCCTATCGCACCTGGAGCATTTGCAGCTGAGGTTGGCATTCAATGCGGTGGAGCTTCCATTCGCCTTGACGTTCCTCTCCCACCTGCGCACACTGGTTGTTGAGAACGCGGAGAAGCTTCAAAGGCTGCCGGCCGACATCGGGTCAGCACTGCCGCAGCTGCGGAAGCTGAGGCTGATAAATGCATACGAGTTGAGGGAGCTGCCAGCGAGTGTGACTGCGCTGCAGAACCTGACGTCCTTGTGGGTTTACGATGCGCCCAACCTGGTTTCTCTTCCGCCTGCCATCGGTGCCTTATCCAAGCTGCGGGAGCTGCACCTCATTCGCTGCAAGCAGCTTAAGCAGCTGCCTGCCTCTCTCACCCAGCTTACCCGCCTGAACCAGCTGTCGATCTCATGCTGCCCCATCCGTTCCCTGTGTTCCAACGCTGCACCGTTCACGCGGCTCAGAGACCTCTCTTTGTCATGCTGTGCACAGCTGGAGGCATTGCCGGGGGATTTGGTTGAGCTGAAGGCATTACGAATGCTGGATGTGTCCGGGTGTAGGCATTTGACGGACAGTGATGGATCTGGGCTCCCCAAAAGCATCAATGAGGTGTACGGGCTGAGAATATACGCAGGGTTTTTTGCATGAGGGGATCTCGAATCCCACCTGCGAAGGGCTCAAATTAGGGGTGAAGGACAGGGATGGGTCTGTGATCCCCAGATGCATCAATGAGGTGTATGGGCTGAGAACGTTCACAGGTAGGCACCAGTAAGGTACTAAGGCATGTAGCATAGGCTGTTTCCTTAGCTGTGATGTCTTTGAGGTGGGCTGGGTGGTGCAGATAGGAAGGCGGGGAACGATTACAATTTTAAGAGCTTGGGTAGTTAGGGAGGGTTCTGAACACCTGGGGGATGATGTCGAGGGTGATTACTTCTCTGGCTGACTGCTGCTGGTGTTACCATCACTGCGGTCTCTGTTACCATCCTCCACCTTCACCACTGCCTCCATTCTCATCACAATTACCATCATCACAGTTGCCATCACATCACATCCTTATCTCATGGTCTTGTCTGTACTACGGTACTTATCTTATTAGTACTGCCAAGAAGCATTCAAGTGAATGATCACTGGTCATGCCTAAAACATGTCAGGTACAGAAGGGTAACAACTGATTACTTCCGGATATTCTGCACTAAGCGCCATGACCACAATCAGCCTGAACACGCCAAGTGCCGTGTTGTACTAATAAAACAACCAGCAGGCACCTCAGCAGCACCAACAGCCATGGCCACTTGCAGGAGAGGGCCATGGCACCATGCAGCTTCATTTAATAGACTGAAGGAGTCAGGTGATTGTGGCTGCCATCTCAGCAGCATCGACAGCCATGGCCACTTGCACTGGCGGCACCCCCACCCACCCATGGGTTGGGACCATTCCAACTGAGGGGGGGCGGGAGGGAAGCTGTACGACTAAGTATGTGAGGAAGGTGAGAGTTGAGAGGTGATGGCGGAGAGGGGAGAGAGGGGAGAGAGGGGAGAGAGGGGAGAGAGGGGAGAGAGGTGAGAGAGGTGAGAGGGGTAAGGGAGGTGAGAGGGGTAAGGGAGGTGAGGCAAAGAGGGCATTTCAGCATGCAGATGCCGGCGGGCTTGAATGCTGGGGATGGACGGAGAGCAAGGGCCAGCCTGGAGAGCAACCATTCTGCCGCCACCTCAAAAGCTCTAAAAAGTCTCGAGATCTTATCTCGAGCTTCTCAGGCAAGCCTAAATGCTGGTGTGGACGCAGGACAAGGGCGCGAATGGCAAGGTGGGAGATGAGGGCACTGAGAGAGAGTGAGCTGAGGGCGTGAACTGAGACAGGTGCACGGTGAAGAGTGTGAGGGGGGTGAACGGAGACTTGTCCACTTGCTGTGACTTGCCTGGGCGAGGCTGGTCATGGGCCCCAGCTGCATGCGGCGGACCTGCGCTGCTCCCCATGCCACCATCCTCACATGCCCACTCCCACGCCCTCTGCTGCCCACTCGTCTGTAAGCCCCCGTCTAACCTGCTCTTCCCTCTGCTCTGCCCGCTGCTCTGTCCGCTGCTCGGAACAAGGCATCTTGGGATGCGTGTCATGTGAGCCTCCTGGTCCATCATGCATCGCATGCTGTTGCCTTGTGGTCACTGCAGTGGCTTTTCAAGAAGAAGGGGCATGAGAGGGAAGGCAGATGTGGTGGTAGAGAGGGGATTGAGTGAGGCAAGGCTGAGTGGCCAACAGATGGGGTAGCACCGGCTCAGAAACACTCATTTAGAGACAGAAGAAGTGAGAAGGCGATTGTAGAGAGTACAATGAGTGCGCTAAAGCACGGTCCAGATGAGTGCATCCAGGTGTCAGGTGATCACAGTGCCATCTGTAAGCCTTCCACTGCTTTACGTTGCCCTGCTCTTTCCTACTTGCCTTAATCCTGTGCTGTGTTGCTCTGCACAACCCCTAACCCCCGAGGAACAGTTAGAAATAAACGGAGGCAACGTTTTCAGTGACAGTGGGAAAAAATGTCAGGCGCCTTACCGTGGCAGCCACGTCAGCAGCATCAACAGCCATCGCCACGCGCGCTGGCATCACCCTCACCCATGGGTTGGGGTGGGGTGGGGCCACTCCAACTGATAGGAGGCAGGAGGGAAGATGTGAGAGAGAGAGAATAAACGAGGGAGGTAAGAGAGGGGAGAGAGGCGAGAGAGGTGAGGGAGGTGTGGAGAAGAGAGCTTTGAAGCATACAGAGGGCACGGTTCAGCTTCGCGCTACCATTTATGCTGCCACTTCAAATGCTATGAAAAGTCTCAAGATCGAATCTTGAGACCTCTCAGGCAAGCATCATATGCTGGCATGGGCGCAGGGCATTTGAGTTGACTGATAAGTGGGGCGCAGGGCAAGGGTGCGGTTCTTAAATGGCAGAGTGGAAGATGAGGGGGCCGAGAGATTGTGAGCGGAGGGTGTGAGTGGAGAGAGGTGCACGGTGAAGTGTGTGAGGAGGCTGGAATGAAACTTGTCTACCTGTTGTGACTTTGCTGGGCGAGGCTTGTGAGGGGTCCAAGCAGCATGATTTTTTAGACGCCTCACACATTGTCTTGTGAGGTGCCTCAAGAAACCTTGCTGGACGCAGCTGGTGATGACCCCGGCAGCGAGGCTGGTGATGAGCTTGGCAGCGAGGCTGGTGATGAGCTTGGCAGCGAGGCTGGTGATGAGCTTGGCAGCGAGGCTGGTGATGAGCTTGGCAGCGAGGCTGGTGATGAGCTTGGCAGCGAGGCTGGTGATGAGCTTGGCAGCGAGGCTGGTGATGAGCTTGGCAGCGAGGCTGGTGATGAGCTTGGCAGCGAGGCTGGTGATGAGCTTGGCAGCGAGGCTGGTGATGAGCTTGGCAGCGAGGCTGGTGATGAGCTTGGCAGCGAGGCTGGTGATGAGCTTGGCAGCGAGGCTGGTGATGAGCTTGGCAGCGAGGCTGGTGATGAGCTTGGCAGCGAGGCTGGTGATGAGCTTGGCAGCGAGGCTGGTGATGAGCTTGGCAGCATGCTGAGGGCACTTGCCCTGCTCTCCATGCCACCTCCTCTCATATACACTCCCACGCCCTCTGCTGCCCACTCGTCTGTAAGCCTGCGTCTAATCTGCTCTGCCCTCTGCTGCCATGCCATGTCACCATCTATGCCGCTGCCCTCAGCACTGCCTGATGCGTCGGGTTCTACAGGCCCACGCAGCACCACTCGCCACAGGTTGTCTCGGCGCAGAGAGGAGGAGCAGAGAGGAGGAGCAGAGAGGAGGAGCAGAGAGGAGGAGCAGAGAGGAGGAGCAGAGAGGAGGAGCAGAGAGGAGGAGCAGAGAGAAGGAGCAGAGAGGAGGAGCAGAGAGGAGGAGCAGGCAGGCGGTGGGAGACACGCCGCTGCCATTGCCGCTGCTGACGGCACTGCTGCTGCCATTGCTCATGGTGGGTGGAGCTTGTGTTGATGGCACTGCTGCTGACGGCACTGCTGCTAACGGCACTGCTGCTGACGGCAGTGCAGCTGACGGCACTGCTGCTGACGGAACTGCTGCTGACGGCACTGCTGCTGATGGCAGTGCAGCTGACGGTGTTGGAAATGGACACTGGAATGGCCCAAAGCGGTTTTCCCAAGGGCTACAGGTGTCGTCCTGGGAGGGTATGGGTGTGTTGACCCACCAAGTAAACATGCCCTTTTAGCCCAGTTGGTTAGCGAACAGGACATGGTGGAGAAGTGGGGTAAAGACCTGGGTTCAATTTCTGCTGTCGGCAGATTTCCTGTGCCCTAGTGGTGGGCCCTCCCAGTGAGGGGAGTGTTGGAAATGGACACTGGAATGGCCCAAAGTGGTCTTCCCAAGGGCTACAGGTGTCGTCCTGGGAGGGTATGGGTGCGCTGACCCACCAAGTAAACATGCCCTTTTAGCCCAGTTGGTTAGCGAACTGGAGAGACGGCACTGCTGCTGACGGCACTGCTGTTGACGGCAGTGCAGCTGACGGCACTGCAGCTGACGGCACTGCTGCTGACGGCACTGCTGTTGACGGCACTGCTGCTGATGGCACTGCTGCTCATGCTAGGTCGGATGCGGAAAGTGGGCGTACTGCTGGATGTGCGGCAGTTGAAAGCACTACTGTGGGGCCTTGAATGACAGGCGCGTCTGGGAGACATGCTACTATGCAGTGCGACAGAGAGCGGGTGTGGATTGACACAGACACACAGTTGGGGCATTGAAGCCAAAGGGAGACGTGGCCGGCTGAAAGTACTTCAGTCTGATTTGAGACTTTGTGTTTCACAAAACAACAACATGAAAACAACACGCCACTGGCGGCAAAAGGTGGGTCAAAGTCAAGTTAACAGCCAGGAGGTGAGTCAACATGGAAGCTGTAAACTTAACTTCTATACAGCCACAAAATCACCAGCACAAGTGGTCGGCTCGGCAACACACATATTCACAGCTTGCACCAGAAACGTGAATGCCGTTCAAAAGAGGCACAGTCAAACCACCAGGACTTGAGTCTTGCATGCGGCAGTTTGACACGTCACATAGTGGCTGAATGACGTGGCAATGCCAAATATGCACGAGATGACGGGCCCCAAGGCTGTAAGAGTTGCCAAGGCGTCGCCTGGACGGCGGAACCGAGGGGAAGAGGGGGAAAGGAAGCGGAAGCGGGGAGGACGTGGAGAGGCGGGGCGAGAGCAGGGGCAGAAGCGGCGGAGGGGGAGAATAGGGGGAGGGATATGCTGACGCTAGCTAGGATAGCTAACCGGGATTTCTAACCGCGTTTTCTGAACCGGAATGCCTAACAAGGTTAAGACTCATTAGAAGAATTGTGGAGATGCTAAGAAGAAAGGCTAATGGAGGCGACAGCTTGGGAACATAGAAACGAGACGGCTAGATCTGCTGAATCGGATGGGCTCGCAAACTTCCTACAACAGAATGCAGGGACAGTTCAAGTTGAGATTTCCAGGAGTAGCGGGCTTAGTCGAGGCGGACGGGAATAAACCCTGCAACTGATAGGGTAACTACAACCCTCCGCCATTATCTTCTCCAACATTGAGCCGAGATAGTCCCAACTAGTAGGTGCTTTGAGCGGAAACGAAGCAGCTATTCGGTTGGGGCTGCGAGCCGCAACGGAAACACGGTGGAGGGATGGCTGGGGATTTCAGTTTGAAGTGGAACAAACAGGCAGTTTCGACGACGACGAGTTGATTTCGTTTAAGTTGTTACCAAGTTCAGATTTGCACCTTGAATGGCAGCCCCCACCCCGAGCCTGGTTGGATTGCGCCACACCAGTCAAGCAACAATCGAGGGCTCGTTTCCAGCTAAGGGACGTCCCCTGCGAACTGACGCCATGACTGGAATTGAGGCGGGACTACAAGGTAACTGATTGTGATGGACGAGGTTTGGAGTTGACGACATTACAGTTGTCGCGCTCCACGTGTCGACCTACCGTTGACGCTTCCTCATGACGCGAACCGTGAGCTTGTTACGAGGGTAACATGCACGTCGCAGCGCCCAAGAGAGCCGTGTGAAAGCCCATCTGCTCTAAGGCCTTCTTGCTGAGCCGTCTAGTACATTCTCTCCTGAGCAGATCCAGACAGCGAAACTTAGCCTAAATAGCTAGGTCTCAACTCAAGCCAGACAGGATTGCTCTCCGATGTACACAAGCTCTCAACCGACGCCATTCACGCAAGTCCACCTCTCTAGGTCTTGCGTTTGTAGAGATCGTGGATAGAAGAAATATATCGTCACCAAGCCTAGTATTCCATCACGGGTAGAGACATGTTGCTAAGCCTGGTGTCGTTTAATCAGCTTACGGACGACCCCATCTGCCTCATCTTCCGTTGCCTGAACAAGCAGTCACCCAGCTACTTCAATCATGCGCTGGTCTGTAAACGTTGGAATCGCCTCGCTTACCTTACACAGACGTCCATTGTCAACAGTCCACCTTACGTTACTATAGATACTGGCCTTCTAAACACTCTTTCCCGACTCGAAGGGTTGACCTCTCTGACGATCAACAAGTGCGTTATCGACCCTGATAATAACGAGTTCATCCGTGGCCTAGGATCCGTCTTTCCCAAGTTAACTCATCTTAACCTGAGCAACGGTTATGAAAAAGGGTTGACGTATGAAGGTGCAGATGCCCTCTTCACAACCTGAATTGCGTTACAGTACCTCTCCCCTAACATGAGGACAGTTTACAATGTTGACAACACCGGTGATTTGCCACCCTCCTTCTTCAGCCTTTCATCCTTGACGGAGGTCAATCTGCGCATGAACTTTGAAGGGCTTCCTGATATGCTCGGCAACCTAAGGTCCCTGAAGAAGCTAACGTTCGCTACATCGCGGAATTACGCCGTTCCGGTCTCATTTGGCAGGCTCACCTGACTGATTGATCTAGAAATAAGTCATTCGTCTTCTTTTGAATGGCTACCAGGCTCCTGGTGTGACGTGACGTCACTGATCAGACTCAACATTGTTGAAATGGAGCAGCTGACCGCTCTTCCTGTCACCATCGGCCAGCTCCATAACCTCCAAGAGTTGTACCTCAAATCCAATTTCATTCTTTCCAGACTCCAAGAATCTTTCTTTCAACTAACTTCCCTCCGAGTTCTTGAGCTCGAGAAATGTGATAGTTTCTATGTGTTTCCAAGAACTGTGTCAGGCCTCGTTTCTCTCGCGATGCTAACCATCAAGAATTGCGAGAGATTTTTTGTTTTTCGCTTTCTGAGTCCTTCCGCGATGTTTCTAACCTCCGTGTGCTCGTCATCAGCAACTGTCCAAGCTTCAACGGCCTCCCACAGGAAATGGGTCGCCTGTTGTCTCTGGAGCATCTCGAGCTGTGCCAAATCAGAACCTTTGGTAGACTTCCGGATTCCCTTGCCGAGCTCACCAATCTCCACAATTTCTCCTTGATCATCTGTGACAGAATTGGCAGATTCTGGCCATATATGCCTCGGCTTTGGAGCAGCCTCACAGCTCTTGAGTTTGCTTGGCCAGTCGACTTCAGGGCCACAATCGAGGATGAAGAAGCCTTCACGTTGTCTCTTTGCAGGCTCTCGAAGCTATCAACGCTCTTCCTGTCTGACCTTTCCAAACTGCATACGCTTTCAGACAAATCAAGAATCTCTCAAAGATGCAGCGGTTGACTCTATGTTCTTGGCCCAACCTGGTCTCCTTGCCTGAGTCCATGACCAGCCTCGCAAGCCTTAGGACCCTCGTGACCACTGAATGCCCGAGCTTTGTGGATCAGGATGAAACCATCTCCAAGATTCCAAATTTGGACAGTGGGTCTATTAGAGGTAGACAGCTGGGAAATGGGTCATTTAGGGGGGAAGAGTGAGTTCATAGAGTTGGAAGGGTGCTGGCTGGAATGTTTCGATATGCTAGGCTTTTCTTGCTCGGTCCATGCAGTGATTTTTGCAGGGATGTTGTAGGAGATGGTTCAGAGATTGGTGCGATAGGTTGGCAGGTACCTCTACTTACCATCATGGATGCCAGGCTGTTGCAATGGTACCACCACACCACCTGTTTGGCCAGTCCAACGATTGGTATGCCTTACAGTTAACATGGGTAGTGATCAGTGAAATATTGCCTGCCTGGTCTCCAATTTCCCAGTGTGTGAATAGTTATCAAACTAGCAAGAAAGCACTTGCCCGGTACATTTAATATACCCAAATGTTAAAATCACATAACAATTGCACAATTCCTATCTTCGAACCTCCACATTGCACGAATAAACTGCACACTAGAAGCCGGTCAAGAGCCATATTGCACAAGTAGATGTGTTGCACTGCACTGCCTACTGACCTGTTTGCCGCACAGCCTGAAGCACTACCTACTGCACTGCTTGACGCATTGTCTGCTGCACTGCCTGTTGCACCTGCTGCCATGCTGCTAAATTTGTGCCAATTGCCCTCACAAGCATTCAGCATGGTGCCAGGCCACACACACACAGGCTGCAGCTCCATGCATTGCCTTCAGATCGTACTGGTATCACTAGGTGACGTGAGAGTGGGGGATTGAAACGATGTGCTAAATTTTGAGTCGGTTCAAAAGTCAGCCCGCCTTCAAAAGTATCACCAGATGACGTGAGAGTGAGGGGGTGAAACAATGTGCAGTGCGGTGGACGTGCGAAGGCAAGGCTGCAGCGAAGTGAAGCAGGCGCTTTCTGATGCGCCTTAAAAAAGGCTGCTGGTCCATCATGCATTGTATGCCGTCACCTGGTGGCTAGTGCTGCTGTGTCCACCTGCAACCGGCCACTGCAGTGGGTGGTATGGGGAAGAAGGCGTGGGAGGAATGGTGGATGTGGTGGATGGGCATTGAGAGAAGCAGGGTTGAGTAGTCAAGATTTGAGCCTAAACTTGTTGAAGAGAACATGTTAGAAGATAAAAAAGTGAGGCGACTGCAATGAGTACTATGAGTGATGAAGCATGATTTAGATGACTGCATACACAAATCAGCCC